CGGACCATAACGAGTGACCAAACCGTCTACAATAATTCGTCGCTTTCTTTCTGAACTCGTCGGTACGATATCAAATACAAATAGAAATATATTGAAAAGTAGTAAATTTATTATTTGTTTTGCCTATTTTGTTTTACTTAAAGTAATTCTTAAAACTGAGAAAATATTACAATTTTTGAACAGAAAATTCTCGACGTGCGTGGCACGTCATTCCAGCGCAAGAGGTTAAAACGGCCACGCGCGTTTGTGTGAAAGCGCGCGCGCAAAAAATAAGAAGGAAATCGGGATCGAAGCATAATTGCCCGAGTGAAATTCTCTTGGCGAGGACACGCGCTGATAACGGTTCTCCGCGGGGAAAACCGCGCGTAGTTTTCTCTAGGTGATTGTAAGTTAAACGTATTGTACGTACATCCCCAGCTCTGGAAATTAAATGTCGCGATGTGTGAGATAAGGAATAGAGGAAGATGGCCATGTTTTTTATTTTTTGTACAAGATACGTAGTATCTTAACAAAATAATATTACACGTATTAGAAATGTATCGAACAGAAATAATTTCATTATTACCTCTGATAAAGAATAATTTCTGAATAAATGATCATATTGTTCGATTATTCAGTAAGATGATTTCATTCGTTTGGTTTATATAATTTTTAATAAAATTGGTGCAAGTTTCATAGCCACCAGTTTAAACATTTGCAACAGTGTTCTCAGAAATAGGATATCATCATCTTATAATCAAATATGTATCAGATTATTATCTTATAATAAGATATCAACATCTTCAACAGACTCATCTGTTTGATTTTTTAACATAATGGCATTTTACAATTTAAATGTACATAAATTATAAATCGAATGAATGCTATACATGAAGTATAAGGTGACAGATACCCGCTATTAATAATTCACGTGGATAAATAATATCAAAATTGAAATATTAACATTCCTTTAAACAACATAATATTTTTCCTGCACTTCTTTCTGCCAAAATTAATTAATTGCTAATGAAAGAAAAGAATTTGCTTCCATTTGCTAATTTGCGATGTTGCCAATTTGAATTTTTATAAAGCACATATACATCGAATCGAGGTTTCATATTAATAATTCACGTGGAAAAATAATACCAAAGTTGAAACATTAACGTTCTTTTAAACAACGTGATATTCTTTCTGCACTTGCATAAATGCCAAAATTAATTAATTGCTCATGAAAGAAAAGAACTTGCTTCCATTTGCTAATTTGCCAATTTGAATTTTTATAAATCGAGGTTTCTTCGATCTATTTTATCGTGCCTAAACTGTATTATTGGCTGGCTTGGCAAACATGATATAACAAAGGAAATTGATCTACATTACCGACCGAAACGAAAGATAACAACGAACACGTTGTCCGACCGAACAGAGAGATAAATACATAATTACGTTTAGCGCGAATCTGAGAAAGAATCTAGAATTCTATCTCGTATCGGCTCTATTTTTTTTTTTTTTTTTAACCTTACAACGAACACTCAACCGTGATAGCGTTATCACGCGACGCACGCGTAATCTTATCGAGGCATCGGTGATCAAATCGTGTTATCAAATCGTCGAGTTAGTACACACCGTACACGCGCGATTTACGGAATCATCATAGAGGACCTTCTATCTGGATGCAATTCTACTTGAACTTCGAGGATTTCCTTGGTAACGTTGCCTGCAATTCAAAAACACTTTAACCGGCAATCACTTTCTTCGCGAGCAACGATCTCGGAACAAATATTTCCGACTGATTCGTATATGTTTTATCGAAAATAATTTCGTAGATTTGACGTCGATCAACTCGTTCCAATGAGAGATGTCGAATTTTTATCATCGAAAATAGAGCACACCCTCTCCACGAAACCGTTTGACTTTCTTTTTTCTACTGAAGATCGTTTCTCACTCGGCGCACGTCGCTGCCCGAACAACAGAAGCTCATTGATATTCACCCAGTGATTTTTTCATTCGCATAATAATTCAGATAACTGATAATTGATTCAGGCGCCAAGAATTAAGATTCATCTCGAGTCAAAAAAACAGAGTTACCATCCTCGTATCGTAATTTTCGTCGATGTGCCGATTTTCTCAGACGAACAAATTCTTGTTTGAAAACCAAGCCCCCCTTTCGACCGTCGAACGTGTCAGCTATTTCGCGTTGGCGAGGTTAAAGGGTGCCTTTCGAAGCGAAATTGCGTAAGTCTACGTGTGCTAGGTTGTCGAGTGGATCGGCTAAGGCTCGAAAGACACAGAGTTTTATAGTGCGTTCCCCGTGTGGCTTTTAATCGCGACTGAAGGAGGAGGGTGTCGCGAGTAACCCTCTGAATCGCACCCTCCACTTCTGTTCCCATTCTTCGACGCCTTTTCGACGATTCAAAGGGTGGTCTGGGGTTCTTGCGTCCTCGGATTTTTCTCTTTTTTTCTTCTTTTTTTTTTCTTTCTTTCTTTCTCTTCCCCTTTTGCCTTGGGGAGGGCCGCCACCGATCCTTTGTCGCCTCCTTCCGATACGCCGCAATTAAAAAGGCATCCGTGCGTTAACGAGCGCTCGTGTTATTTGCTTATCCAGCAGAGTCCCTCTATCGCCTGCCGATAACCTGTCATTGTTGTTCTCTCGTCTTTGACTCGCAGCGTTGACGCGGGAAAAGCCAACCCTCCACCTTTGCTCTCCTGCGTCACACGTCTCTGCCGACATCCGACGAACGATAAGACCTCGTTGAGCGTAACAACGATCGCAGCTTCGATAAAATTTTCAAAAATAGCCCGTATCTTGCGTACAGTTGTTGGTTTCGTTCTCTTATTCGACACAGTTTCCTTCATTTCGCAGGTACAGTGTTCAAAGTAATTGTATCGTAGAAGAAAAGCGGGTCGCGTGGAGTGAAGTCGTGGAAATCCGATTTTCCTTGCCCTCGGAGGCGTCAAAATTGTCGCGAGGTTAACGCGAACTAGGGCAAACGCTGTCCCGCGTGATTCATCCGCGTCCGTGACAATAAAAAGACCGACGTGCTCTCCTTTTCTAGCGCGAGAGAACATTATCTGCGATAGAGATATCGATCCACGAAGCTCCGATCGACGAACGCTAGCTATCGTACGTGAGAACGAGCAGTAAGTAGCGTAGGATAATCTACGATTGTCTGTCTACAGTTGTGAATAATTCTTGCTTGTTGCTCGAGGAAACTGTTGATAAAGAATTTTCAAAACACCCGAGTGTTTACAGTTGCTTTCCCATTTCCATTTCGAAGTCCGAAAGGTGTGTGTTTGCTCGTCACCGAGCGAATTATTCCCAGAGGCAATTTCATCGAGGCAAGAAATAATATCGATCAGAAGAAACGACCGCGAACGTTTCTAATCTGAGAGAAACGTACACTTACGCTTCGTTTCTCTCGAGATCGTGACGGCGACGGTTTTCACTTGCCCATTGATAACGGGCTCGCTACGCTTGTTACGCAATTCCCAAAGAGAAAGTTCACGCGAGATCAGGCCAGGCTAATTGGCTCGGTCTTTACGTCAGATCCTTGCGCGATGATTCGCGCGCACGGTGTGTTTACGCTTCTGCCAAAAGTGAAAATACGGCGCGGTTGTAAAATCGACGAGGAACTCTACTACCAGTATCCAGGTGTCGATGAAGAATGAAATATCGATGTTTCGAACTTTCATTTTTGTTTGAAGAAACAGTTGGTTTTCATCTTCAAGCGTGCAACTTTTACTTTAGTAGAATCTTGAGATTTTTTGTTTTTTTTTTTTTTTTATTTCACATCGTGCAGGTGGAAAAATTTCCTTTATTCATGGAGAAACATCAGACTCTTGAAAAAATATTTTTCACAGCTAGATTTAGATTTGTACGATTTTTTTTATCGAATCTTTTGAACATCAGAGTTAAATGTAAATAATCAAGAAATCGTAACATTTCGCCGTGTTTCAAGTTCAATAAAATGGCGAACAAAAAAAAAAAAAAAATAGTGAATTTTAAGGGCTTGTAAAGAGAAGATTTTAACCATCAGAACCGTGGTAGATTCGGTCATGGAAAAAATTTTTTAATGTTCTCGGAGATATTTGGAGTTTTATCATTTTCGAGAATAAAAGTACCTTTGCCACGTGACAAATCTTTGAAAAAAACTAACGTAGGATTGTCGAAGTAGAAGCTTCGCGCTTCAAAATGAGGCCAACTTAATTGTTACACATCTTAATGTCTTTTTTATGAAGCTACCAGCAGTTTAAGAGTACGTTTTAACTTTTTAAAAATAAAATATTCCATCGAGTGTGCGAATACGTTCGTCTGTACAGGCTGGACCAAAATAAATAACTTTCTACTAAAATAAATCCGTAATTTTTTTATTACACATTTTATTACAGATTAAAGTAGTACACTAATTTGAGTTCAAGTTTGAAATTCAAAATTAATAAAATTAATTCCTTGTCATATTTTGATGTTTCATTAAAACGAAAGAAACTGCTGGCCCACCCTATTCATTTAACCTCTTGCGCTAGAATGCGCACGTCGAGTGCGTTCCAAAATTTTTGTTCTAAAATTGTAATATTTTCTCAGTTTTAAGTACATTTAGGCAAACAAAAAGTAGGCAAGACAAATTTACTACTTCTCAATAATTTCTATTCAGTGATGTCGTACCGACGACTTATTGTATACGGTTTGGTCACTCGTCATGGTCCGCAATCAGTTGCCAGCGCAGGTGGTTAAAAGTTAATATAAACTAATATAATTTTGTTTAGTTTAATATAAACTAATGTAATTGTTTAAAGAAAGGCAAAACATAATAAATTTATTACTTTTCAATAATTTATAATATCCAGTGATATTGTACCGACGAGTTCAAAAAGAAAGCGACAAATTGTTGTGTACGGTCACTCGTCATGGTCCGCAATCAGTTGCCAGCGCAGGTGGCTAAAAGTTAATGTAAACTAATATAATTTTGTTTAGTTTAATATAAACTAATGTAATTGTTTAAAGAAAGGCAAAACACAAGTAATAAATTTATTATTTCTTTAATAATTTCTATCCAATGATGTCGTACCGACGAGTTCAAAAAGAAAGCGACGAATTGCTGTGTACGGTTTCGGTCACTCGTTATGGTCCGCAATCAGTTGCCAGCGCACAAGCGGTAATTTGAAAGTCACAAAAGGTTCGAGTTTCAAAATTAATTAACCACGTTGCGCTGGCAACTGATTGCGGACTATAACGAGTGACCAAATCGTACACAATAATTCGTCGCCTTCTTTTTGAACTCGTCGGTACGGTAGGTCACTGGATAGAAATTATCGAGAAGCAGTAAATTTATTATTTGTTTTGCCTGAGTTATACTTAAATATACTTGAAACTGAGAAAATATTGCAATTGTGGGACAACAAATTCTCGCCGTGCGTTAAGATTAAGAATTGCAAGGGAGATGCATACATGATTCTGACTTTTGTCTTGGTTCGCAGAGCCGAAGAAGCGTCGCTTCCATCCGCTTCGTGGCCTGAGGAAGATCTTCCGGCGTAAGAGCCGAGGGGCGGCGGATGCTCGATTGGTCGCTGGCCATGCTGATCATCGGGACGCGGAGCTGGTTCGGCTCCCGAGGGAGGACATCACCGACAGACATCCTGCGGGACGTCCCGAGGAGGCTCGCAGCAGGAGTGCCAGCGAGCTGCTCACAGACTCGTCCGATCGGGAGAGGTGAGGTTTCAACTCTCTATATACTATAGAAACATGACATCAGTTAGTTCTTTCGTGTCAGGTAAATAGCATAAAATTGGACGAAATACAAACAACAAAATCTCGAATTTCTATTAAATCATTGATAAATCGAAAATCAAACCGTTGAAATTTACACGCAGCAGCGAGCTCTTATTGCTTTGTACATAACGATAAATTAGAGGTGTACGCCTGTGAGTTTCTACCTAGATCGGAAGTGGATTCAAAGTTTAAACGATCGTTCGTTTCCGGGATATATGGCTGAGGTTCGACGGACTCCGTATTTTACAGGAGGAAAGCAATCCCAGAAACTGTGCTTCAGGCTTCGAGGTAAGATATACAGGGTGGGTCACCACATATTGCCATCTAGATTTCCGTCCATTGTTATTACGCGTAGCGAAAAATGTTTCAGATGAAGTTGAATGGTTTCGCGAGGGGCACATTTTGATTATACTAGTTTTCTTGTAGGCGAACGTGTAGAAGACATATGGAGGTCATCAACGTTTTTTTTTTTAAATGGAATCGTATAATTTTTATTGCATCAGTTGATGCACCTTGATATTCTTTACAAAAAAGTATTAACCTATTTAGTTAAGTATTAACCTATGTTAAAAAATCATTAGTTTAGGAGATATTTTAATTGTAATGTCGTTAGGCCAATATGAGAGATCGCATCATCACTGAGTGTAATAAAATAACACCAGATACATTACACAATGTGAGTGAATTATTAATCTATCGATTCAGCAAATGTCGTGATGTAAATGGCCGTCACAATGAACCTTTTCTGCAAATAAAATCATTACAACATTAACAAAGGGGGATGTCATGATTTCCTAGCAACATTAAAATTAAAATATCTCCTAAACTAATGATTTTTTAACATAAGTAGGTTAATACTTTTTTGTAAAGAGTATCAAGGTGCATCGATTGATGCAATAAAAAATATGTGATTCCATTTACACGTCCACCTACAAGAAAACTAGTATCATCAAAATATGCCTCTTTCGAAACCATTCATCATCTGAAATGTTTTTCGCTACGCGTGATAATAATGACGGCAATATGTGCTGAGACACCCTGTATACGTTCGAGTGTCGGTAGCTCGAACGCAAAGGGTTAACACGCCCCCATTTGTCGTGCCATTTGTTTCAAGGAACGAAGATCGAGAGAGGCGAAGGCGGAGTTGTTCTATCGTAATTGTTGTCGTTTTCAGCGGACAAACCGCGTCGAAGAGATGCAGGCTGACGGCATCGTCCAAGTCCCGCCGTTCCTTCAAACAGTAAATATCGTCGAAAGAATATCTCCCCGTTTGAATATCTCTTTTTTAGTGGCTTCTTTTTCTTTGTCGTCGCTCCCCGTCCACGCCGCTTCTTCGTAGTTCGTGGTCTGTTCGTCGTTTAATCCTGCTGTTTTTTCTGATGAAAATAGAACTGTCGTTTCGTTAAATATCTTACATTCAATGTACTGAAGGGACGAACATGGAAAGTGGCTCGACACGCGCCTTCCTTATTCGTTATATGAATAAATTATTTCAACAATTACATCTCGTTTCAGTTATGAGATGTTATCTTGAAATAATACTACGTCAGTTTTATTTAATATCCTGAAATTCTTCCATTATCAAATGAAACAGTTTCTTATTTCATTTTATATTATCTGTTGTTTGATTTTCTCAAATTGTTTCGTTAGTTGACCATCAAACGATTTCTCATTTCATTTTATATTATCCGTTCCTTCGAATAATTTCTTTCCTAGATTTGGTATTAGAGTTTCTAATTCTATTGCATATAAATTCAATTTGATTTCAATTCAAATAAAAGATTATCTGCAAATGATTTATCCGACTTTGATCCAAAGTAAAATTACTTCATCCGGGTTATTTTTCAAATAAGAATGATAAATCAGTGGGTGAATGATTCGTTATTTTCTATGTTCATTTCAAATGAAATTTGCCCAACCCATATATGGATTCTGTATATATTTCTCACATATTTTCTTCGTTTTTTCAATCAGTCCTTCGATCATTCCTCTTCTTTTCATTTTATCTTGCACAGTTGCTTCCTTGCCAGAATGCAAACAACTTCTGCCCCTTTTTCCTGCAAGCTTCTTTTGAACTACACGTATACTGCAACACTAGAACTACCAGGGACTAAAACGTGAAATTTCCATCAGAGATGTTAAAAATATAAAAAATTTTATAACACAATGAAGTACACAAGCTTTTATTTATACATTCTATGAAAAATCATTTAAATTTCTAAAAATATATTGTTTTATATCTGTAGAATATCCAACAAAAATTACAAACTGGTAATTTTGACCATTTTGACCATTTTCTCTAGTGTTAAATGACTATAATTACTGTAGCAATATAGATACTGTACACAGTAAAAACATAGTACACAGCAAGTGTCAGCAATTTAGCATTACAACTATCGGCGATTAAAACGTAAAATTACAATAAAAATTAAAATAGTAATTAAAATAAAAATTAAATTAAATTATATAATATAATTAAATAAAAATTAAAAATTAAAAAAGTAAAATTAAAATAAAAAAGAAAAAATAAAAACTTTATAATACAATGATGAAGTAGACGCGTTTATTTACACATTTTACAAAAGATCATTTATGTCAATAAAAATTACAAATTGGTCATTTTGACCATTTTGGTAGTTCCAGTGTTAAAATATACCACATACATTGTCCAGTGTCTCCTAAAATCAGCCTTCGAGTTTCATACAGTGCCACGAATATATTCAAAATCTGTATCAACACTGATGTGCAGTGTAAACAAACAGCAGGATTAAAAAGAGGAGGCAGTGATCGCTCCCGTTCGGCAACGTTTAACCACTTGCGCTGGATTGCGGACCATAACGAGTGATCCAAACCGTACACAATAATTCGTCGCTGTCTTTTCCCTTTGAACTCGTCGGTATGATATCACTGGATAGAAATTATTGAGAAGTAATAAATTTATTATTTGTTTTACTTAAATATACTTAAAACTGAGAAAATATTGCAATTTTGAGATAAAAACTTCTCGACGTGCGTAGCACGTCATTGCAGCGCAAGAGGTTAACCATTGATTGCGGACCATAACGAGTGACCCAAACCGTCACAATAATTCGTCGCTTTCTTTTTCCTTTTGAACTCGTCGGTATGATATCACTGGATAGAAATTATTGAGAAATGATAAATTTATTATTTGCTTTGCCTTGGGTTATACTTAAATATACTTAAAACTGAGAAAATATTGCAATTTTGAGATAAAAACTTCTCGACGTGCGTAGCACGTCATTGTAGCGCAAGAGGTTAACCACTGGCAACTGATTGCGGACCATAACGAGTGACCCAAACCGTACACAATAATTCGTCGCTGTCCTTTCCTCTTGAAGTCGGTATGATATCACTGGATGTAAATTATCGAGAAGTAGTAAATTATTAATTATTATTTGTTTTTGTTTCACTTAAATATACTTAAAACTGAGAAAATATAATTTTGGAATAGAAAATTGTCGACGTGCGTGACACGTCATTCCAGCGCAAGAGGTTAAGTTAACCACCAGTCAATATCCTTGGCCTGATTCGAGGCGTGCTCGAGTTTTTGCTTTTCTCTGTGCGGCTTAACGGCACGAACTCGGATGGCTCGCGTGTTAATTCTGCACGCGTGTCTACACGCGCGCGCGCTTCCGTGCATTCCTGGCCTACTGTAATTCATTTTTTTCGTAACTAAACGATTGCGATCTTTTCGCGTCGAGTCGCGCTGCTGCTAGTCGTGTGATCGACCTTTCGATCCTCGAAAGTTTCGCAACAGCGTGGCAGCGAAATCCGCGAAGCAAGTTAGCTGCCATTTATTATCTGTTAGGCTAAAGTTGAGCTACTCCTCGCAAGCAAAGCTGCCTCAAACTCAAAATTGCAGATATGAACGTTTGTTGCCAAAGTATCAGTAGCTATCAGTATCAGTATGAATTGGGCATTTGAAGGAAAGCGCGTAGAGATTTGATTAGACGCGGCGAGATTGAGAAACTGAGAACTCGAGAGATTTGAAGAGTCTGAGAGGATCGGGGAAATAAATCGTTAGGATAGTTTTATTTTATTATCGGGCACAGTTCTAAACCCTATCATAATTACAGAGTTATTGCTAATTATAGAGTTATTGCTTACTATAACTTATTGTAGTAATAGAATTCTATAAGCATAACTCTAATAGTAATAACTCTATTGTTAGCCAACTATAGAGTTATTACTTACGCTAACTTACTATAACTTGTGGTAGAATAACAGTTGTGAATGCTAAATTTTGAAGCAGTTTTGGGTGTCCAACCTTTTAAATCTTCTTGTATATTTTTTATATTATTTATGAGGATATTAAAACAGCTGTAGTGAAACAATACGTTGATTAGAGAAATATATTTATATTAATTAAAGAAATATGGAGATTTTTAATGAGAATATTGAGCTTGTTTCTTTAGATAGGCCAGTTTGTCAATATCTAGTTAATACAGGTAGTGACAATACGAAGAGTATTTTCAAGATGCTCGTGTAAAATTGGGAAAATCTGTTCGCAAATATAAGTATTGCCCAATAGAGACACGTCATGAACATTCATGGTAAAATACTAAAATAAAATTGTTCAAATGATAAAATTATTATTAAATTATTCCAATTTTGGTTGGATACACCTGCTCGAAAGCGATTTCTCGAAATATATAGAAAAAGAAAAAAAAAACTATTGGTGAGACGTCACTCGAGATTTTTGATACTTCTTAGTTTTCCAATCAAGCTAATTGTAAGTGGTGTGAAACTCTCAAAGTATATCATCAATCGCTAATTATTTTTACTTCAATTACAACTCTTACTTACTGGAAATTCTTTTCTTTTTTTCTTTTGTCCGAAGTAATCACGATCTGAAATGAGTGCTCGAGTCGTGTTCCAGACATTTTTAACAGCTTTTCAAGTCGAATCGAACTGCCTGGCACATTGAGAGTGTCTTGACGTTCTCCGATAAGAGGCACTCTGCGACACAGACTTCGCTCTCCACCGCTGATGTAATAATAAATTATCGTAATAATTTGCATTGCTAATTCAATGGCCAGGTACTGTCCAAGAGTGCGAGAGTGTCTTTGGAAATTATCCATCGTGGAGTCGAAGAAGAATTGAGAGTCGATGAAGATCGATTTTATTTCTTTCCATTCCCTGGAGTAAAAACTAACATTAGTTGCAAACCGATATTCTTGTCCCACTAAGCTGCTTCTTTCTCTAGCTGGAAACGCTAGAAAACAAGAAACCAGAATTTTCCCTTCAATGACGCCTCTCGTTTGCCTTTGTTTTCCAGCGTGTTCCTCAGGAGGACCGGCGTGGAGGATTCGTTCGCAAAGCTACGGGGAGGAGCGGGAAAATTGTCCGTATCGCACGACAGCGTTTTCCCCGGAGAGGTCCCTCACACTCGGCCTCTCTCGTCATTGGCCAGCCTAGCTACCCTCGAGGTTGGTACACGCCATGGTTCTCTATTCACGAGATACTAAATCTGAAAAAAAAAAAAAAAATATATATATATATATACATATCGTTGATTGTTGAATCACTTGACCCGCATTGTTTTTTTACGAGTCTCTCGGTATCCACGTTAACCACTTGCGCTGGCAACTGATTGCGGACCATAACGAGTGACCCAAACAATACACCATAATTCGTCGCTTTCTTTTCCTTTTGAACTCGTCGGTATGATGTCACTGGATAGAAATTATTGAGGAGTAGTAAATTTATTATTTGTTTTGCCTGGGTTATACTTGAATATACTCGAAACTGAGAAAATATTGCAAATTTGAGATAAAAACTTCTCGACGTGCGTAGCTCGTCATTGCAACGCAAGAGGTTAACCACTTGCGCTGGCAACTGATTGCGGACCATAACGAGTGACCCAAACAATACACAATAATTCGTCGCTTTCTTTTCCTTTTGAACTCGTCGGTATGATGTCACTATATAGAAATTATTGAGAAGTAATAAATTTATTATTTGTTTTGCCTGGGTTATACTTGAATATACTCGAAACTGAGAAAATATTGCAATTTTGAGATAAAAACTTCTCGACGTGTGTAGCACGTCATTGCAACGCAAGAGGTTAACCACTTGCGCTGACAACTGATTGCGGACCATAACGAGTGACCAAACAATACACAATAATTCGTCGCTTTCTTTTCCTTTTGAACTCGTCGATATGATGTCACTGGATAGAAATTATTGAAGAGTAAATTTATTATTTGTTTCGCCTATTTTGTTTCACTTAAATATACTTAAAACTGAGAAAACGTTGCAATTCAGAACAGAAAATTCTCGTCATTCCAGCGCAAGAGGTTAAGGGGGCAGGACAGTTTGACGGGCCTAAAAATTACAAATACTTTGGAGGGCTAGTGAAACAAAAGTACATATTTGATTGACGTGAGCTTTTGTGGTTTATTTTTACACATTATGAACTATAAAAAGCAACGTTAAAAGAGAAAAGAAGAGAGTTCTTATTTAACTTTTTAACGGCCTTTTACATAACTTTTTTTTTACATTGCCTATCGGTGTGCATGATTCCAGCCAAACGGGATTAGCTGCAACAAAAAGGTAAAGAAAGTTCAAAAGTAAATAATATTCTCTAGGGATCGACGAGCCACCATTTTCATTTCTGTGAAAATTATGAAAACAGCAGCTATTTGTTTTCGATGTATCGATTTTGTGCCAAAGATTTCTACGTTTTTTTGTATTTATATTTTTCGAAATTGTTAAAAATTAAAAAATGTTCGATCGTCAATCTCTAGTAAATGTTACATTAAAGATACGCATCAAGTTTCACAGTAATCGGTTGATTAGATTCCGAGATATCTTGCACACCATTTCTAAAAACCTAGTTTCGAGAAAAACGCGTTCAAAGTTTCAGAACGTCATTTTTCATAAGTATCCTTTACTTACTATTTTTACTTAAAAATCACGCCCCACAATTCTTACAATTCACAACTAAATTGAATCCAAGTCCCCTGATATTCGATTCACGAAAAAGTAATGTTTGAATCGCACGATTTACGCTTTGTAATACTGCCTAAAGTTGTAAACAGTGATGCAAATTCAATTATTCTGTATCCGCGGATTTATCATCATACCCCAAAATAAGTTTTAATGTCTAGGACCTTTTGCATCTTATTTCCAAGACTTCAGACTACTGTTTTGAACAAAACAGAGAAATATCGATTTTTCGAAAATTTCGAACTGTCCTGACCCCATGAGAAATTGAATAGAGTCGAAAACCGTTCGAACGATGAAGTTTTCGACGTCTGTCGTGTCGAAATCGGCGGGACGGTCGTTCGAAAACAATCGCATCGGACTTGATTCGCGGTGATTGATGCAATTTCCCCGTGACTTGAGCAGAGCGAATGATAAACAGAGGCGCGGAGGAGGCGCGTTATTCTCGTTATCCAATGAGCGTAATGCCGAGGCAGGCATTCTGGGCACGCGTGAATCGAGTTAAAGCGGGTTACACATGTCCGAGGATCGGCTCGTGACTCGTCTTCTCAATTTCCTCGCCTCTCGTGCTCTACACGCCGCGGCTGAACGCTTTCTTGCCCTTAAAATTATCGGAGACTTGAACTTCTCTCGTTCCTCGAGAAACGAGGACAAAGACTCTCCGATGAACTCCTCGCCGCGGGAATTTCGTCGCGTACGACCGTGAACTTTGGCGTCTAAATCGAGCACCGAAACACAGCCGAGAACGACTGTTTGAATAATTTATGAAGGAAGCGTGACACGCCGGGTGCAATGTGCCGCGGAGAACCGAGGATCCTTAGTCCGGGAGTACTCGGTGGCTCGGTGAAGCTATTGTATTTCGACTTGCTTGTCGGGAAGCTTCTCTCGTGGAATATATCGTTTCGTTTAATTTTTAATTTGCATGAAAAAGAAACAACGGATGAGAGCAATTTTAATAATGATTATAATAGTTACAAAGGGAGTATTAATGTATAAATATAATAATTACAGTGATAGTAAGACAGATGAGAATGTGTATATATAAGTATGTGAGGTAGATAGATATAGTGGTTACAGCGATGAACGAGAATAATGAAGATAGAAATGTCAGATAAGATAAAGAATGAATTAAAAAGATAAATGTAATTGCAATGAAGCAATAAGAGAAAAATATACAGTAAGATATGCTAGTGATTAAGGAGGATGAGTTAGACTAAGCTGTCGCTGAAACAGACCGGATATTGCGCGCCATTTTTGAAATTTTGATAACACTGCATTTACATCGGTGAAAGTTAATTAAAACGAATTTTAGGCGACTTCGCGAATAAATAATCAAAATTATCAAAAATTACTTTGCGAGGATGATCCAAGATCGACGATTTATAACGCTAATATAGTGTTTGCTAATTGTCGCAATTGTTTGCTTTTACTCGACGCTAAATCGCTCTAATCGTAATTTTTCTGATTGTAGATATTCGTGAGGTGACAATTTCTCAGTTGTACGATTACTAATCTTGCAATTCAATTATTAATATTCGTTTGTTGCTAAGTAGTAAGCTAGTTTAAAATCTTTAAATTTTCTGTAATTGACTGTAAAAATAAAATAAAAAATAAAAATAAAACTAAATAAAAGTAAAAATAAAAATAAAAATAAAAATAAATAAAAATAAAAGTAAATAAAAATAAAACTCGAGTGAAATCGTTCTCAAATTTTAATTCTTAAACTTATTATTGGATAATAAAAATAAAAATAAAAATAAATAAAAATAAAACTCGAGTGAAATCGTTCTCAAATTTTAATTCTTAAACTTATTATTGGACAATAAATACAATAAAAGCTCATGTACATGTACATATAAAGTCCAAGATGTGCCGTTTCGTGAAATTGGAGATTCCTTTTGCGATAAATATTCCCCTGAACGATGAATACGAAATTGCTTTCCTGCTGATCAATTTTCTTCCTTTGAATGAGAACCGTGGTCGGTTAAAGCGGGATCGGATAAGAGGGAATCTGCTGCAAAACACAAAGGAAAAAATGCTCGCGTAAATACGAGCAAAAATTCACGAGATGGCGGAAACAAGCGCGTAATTAGTATTTATCTGTGTACAGATAAGAGATTCTTAATCCCTGTCAAATGCGCACAAACAGTTTGAGTTATTTCTTCTAAGAACAAAGAGTTATTATACACTCGGTATGTCACGACTGCTTTGCACACATACTGTACAGTTTGAAGTTGGGCAACATGGTATGATCAGACTCGATAAACGATATTCTATTCGCTTGTTTACGTTGGTATTACTATTACTTGCCTTGTTTATCATTGTCAACCTGTGTTTATTTACACGTTTCATTTGTTTATTTGTTTCTGTACGTTTACGAGCAAAATAAGGTAGTATGGAAAATTCTATTTATATCATATTGAAATTACCGACGATTAAAAGTTATCGTCGGAAACGTTAACATTGAAAAAGTAAAAAGAAAGCTTTGACTATGACAAAAGTCATTTAAATTTTTAAAAATATACAATTTCACATTTATAAAATATCTAAGAGAAATTATAAATCGATCATTTTGATTATTTTGGTAATGTAACTAATCGTGAATACAGTTTTATACTTTTTTTTATATTTTACTATACTATACTATTTATATATTATGTATAACCTTGTCTGAAAATTGCGGGAATCTTAATATAATGCGAGACTTTAGACAGGAGATTAACAAATGATGATAATCTGAATAATTTGAGGTTAAGGTTAATTTAATTTAAGATTAAGGTTAGGTTACTTGAACTTGAAAAGAAAGTTTCGAGTTTTTAGTATTCGAAATTTCGAAACACTTTCCTTTCGTGACTCGAGACTTAGATAAGAGCAAATATAAAGTCAACGAATGAAAAATCATTTGAAATGCTTCCGTCCTATCTCTAACGTTTGTATCTTCAAACTCAAACTCAAATTCGTTCGTGATTCTGAAAAGAAAAATGATAATATACAAATCTAAAGAAATTATTTAAAAGAAAAAAGAAAAAAAGAGATATTTTATACTTCTCAGTATGACGAAAAGGAAAAAGAAAAAGTTCGCAAAAGTTAATGCTCTTAGACAAGAGATGATATCTGGACTAGATATCTTTGTTTGTACCTTGTGGCCAATAAAAATTCAAAATACAAAAGTTCTTAAAACACGAAACTTCTCTTGTCAAACTAAAAATCAATACTTCAACAATTTTCGAGACTTATGAATTTCTTTAAAAATCCACAACACAATACATTTTCACGTCTGTAAAATCTCCGGATGGCAGACAGACGAACTTCTTCCGGACGAAGAAAGGGAGGGGCTTTTCCAAAATCTTGCGCGTGGAAGCTTCTGCGGAACCGAGAACGTGGAAACGTATCGCGTCGAACCGATCCTCTCGCGTTCCGTTCTGATACTCGTGGAAAGTCGCGAGCCATTTTCACATTTCGCGGAAAGCCACGTGACACGTGGAAGATGCACGGCGGCGTGTCGTGACCGTTTCCATAGTGTTCCATTTATTTCTTCGCCTTGCTTTCAGCGGAGACAAACGAGAAAGAGCAACGAGATCGAGCACAAGGAGTACAATCAACACGTGGTCCAGAGGCACAGGATATCTCTTCGGGTAATTCTTTAACCACCTGGCCACAGACCAAGGTTGAAATTCGACGAACGTCTTCCAATGTTTTTCATTTTTGTGAAAATTATGATAGTAGCAGCCATTTGTTCTCGATGTGTCGAATTTGTGCCAAAAATTTCTCACGTTTTTTTTTTTTGTTTATGTTTTTCGAAATTGTTAAAAATTAAAAAATGCTCGATGTTACACTAATTCGACGAATGTCTTCCAATATTTTTCATTTTTGTGAAAATTACGATAGTAGCAGCCATTTGTTCTCGATGTGTCGAATTTGTGCCAAAAATTTCTCACGTTTTTTTTTTGTTTATGTTTTTCGAAATTGTTAAAAATTAAAAAATGCTCGATGTTACACTAAAGACTGTTACTTACGTAGCAAGTTTCACATCGGTTGGTTAGATTCCGAGATATCTTGCATCACACCGTTTCTAAAAACCTAGTTTCGAGAGAAACGCGTTTAAAGTTTCAGAACGTCATTTTTCACATGTATTCTTTACTTACTATTTTTACTTATACATCGCGGCTCACAGTTCTTACAATTCACAACTAAATTGCATCCAAGTCCTCTGATATTCGATCGACCAAAAGTAATATTTGAATCGCACGATTTGCACTTTGTAATACTGCTTAAAGTTGTAAACAGTGATGCAAATTCAATTATTCTGTATCCACGGATTCATTATCATACCCGAAAATAAGTTTTAAAGGCTAGGACCTTTCGCATCTTCAAGTCCTCTGATATTCGATCGACCAAAAGTAATATTTGAATCGCACGATTTACACTTTGTCATACTGCTGAAAGTTGTAAACAGTGATGCAAATTCAATTATTCTGTATCCACGGATTCATTATCATACCCGAAATTAAATTTTAAAGGCTACGACCTTTCGCATCTTATTTCCAAGACTTCAAACTACTATTTTAAACAAAAAAACAAAGAAAATCGATTTTTTGAAAATTTCAAACTGTCCTGACCCCCATCGGCGTTGAAATCTAGGCCGCGGGGTTTACAGAAACGTTAATTGCGGGTAACATTGTGGATAATTGCTGACAATGAGCGTGTACGCGGTTCGTTTGCAGGTGCTCGAGCAAATAAAGACGGTCATAGAGAACCGGAACCAGTTAGCCTCGGCGACCTCCTCGGATACCACGAGCGCTGCACATGTGAGTATCGAGACGTCGTGTTAAACCTTAAGAAAAAAAGAAAAAAGAGAAAAAAGTAAAAAAAAAAAAAAAAACAAAGAAAGAGAGAGAGAGAGAGAGAGAGAGAGAGAGAGAGAGGGAAATGTGAAAGATAAAGAAAAAGGGCATTTTTGTTGGTCCGACGACCTCTCTCGTCCCTCGCTAGAGACACTAATTTTTCCTCCGGCTTTTATCTCGATACGAAAGTAAGACCGGAAAAGGAAACTTTCTCGTTGTCGCGGTGAAAAAGATGAAAATGAGAATACGCAGAAAAATAAAGTATCAAGGCTCCGAGTGATCCTTCGCGTAACGAAACTTTGCTGATATTTCTTTCGCCTCTCCGACTCTTTTATCTTTCAACGATCAAAAAATACGCACACAGATAATTATAAAAAAAAGAAAAAAAAAAATGACAAAACACAGTACACGTCGAAATACACAAAACGGGGGATTAGATCGTCGCCCGTTTGTCACACAGTTGGTTTTTGCGTTTCAGGCGGTCGGTGAACGTTATCAGCAGGAAACCGCCGAGGTAAGATAGCAACGATGAATACTTTTCGTTCCGAGTATCGGTGTGATCGCGTGGCGCTTTTGCGGTTCGGCGCGATTAGTCGCGTACGCGATGTGCGCTCGTCAACTCGCGAACGCGTTCCTCAAGCGTTTCGCAGTTCGTTTGACGGAACCAGGAACGGGATAAGTAACGTTGAGTCGAATAAGGAACGATCGATGTTCGATGTTCGATGTTTCTCTCTCTCTCTCGGGTCGAGTCATGCGGCGAGGCTATAACGACAAGAACGTTTTTTGAGGCTTGTTTCTCGAATGGAAGTGAAAATGGCCGACGTGCGTAATGGTCACAGTCCGCTGAGGAGATTCCTGGGCAAAGTGCGGACGTTGAACTCGATCGTCGTGAATTTTCGGGGCAAGATAACAGCCGGGGTAAGATCCATAAGCTGGAGAACTTTCTCTGTCAGCGGCGATAATTTCACGGATACTACGTTCGCGAGGTTACATTAGTCACTTTCATTCGTTGCGTCACTTCTATTTACGATCGCCACGCCGGAATGTTTAGGCGACATTCGTCTAAAGACGGAATATCGATTCGTTATTTTCTTCTTTCTCGAAGAAAAGGAAAACAAAAACAAAAAACAAATCGAGTGCTGATTTATTCGACCTTTCGATCACACCGTTGCGTTGAAACAATATATATATATATATATACTTGGTTACGTTGTTGGTGACATTGGGACACTTTCATAGGTACATTCATTGATTTTGTTTAGTCTTTTTCTCGAATTAAATTCGTTCGTCAAATGACCCCAGTATTATCAGTGGCGTAGCTAACTGGATCCTTTTACGATTCTGTGTACACGGTGGCCACTGAAGAACTGAAGGGTTTTGAAAAAGTCATAATATTTGTTCATTTTCAATATTTTTTATATTCTTTTTTTGTAGGCTATAGAGCATTCCTTGGAGAGTAAAATAAAATAAAATAAAATAATAATAATAATGATAATAATGATAATAATAATAATAATGGCCGCTGAAGAACTAAAGGGTTTGAAAAAGTCATTATACTTGTTCATTTTCAATCTTTTGTATATTCTTTTTTTGTAGGCTATAGAGCATCCCTTGGAGATTAAAATAAAATAAAATAAAATAATAATAATAATGATAATAATGATAATAATAATAATGGCCACTGAAGAACTGAAGGGTTTGAAAAAGTCATTATACTTGTTCATTTTCAATCTTTTGTATATTCTTTTTTTGTAGGCTATAGAGCATCCCTTGGAGATTAAAATAAAATAAAATAAAATAATAATAATAATGATAATAATGATAATAATGATAATAATAATAATGGCCACTGAAGAACTGAAAGGTTTGAAAAAGTCATTATACTTGTTCATTTTCAATCTTTTGTATATTCTTTTTTTGTAAGCTATAGAGCATCCCTTGGAGATTAAAATAAAATAAAATAAAATAAAATAATAATAATAATGATAATAATGATAATAATAATAATAATGGCCACTGAAGAACTGAAGGGTTTGAAAAAGTCATTATACTTGTTCATTTTCAATCTTTTGTATATTCTTTTTTTGTAGGCTATAGAGCATCCCTTGGAGATTAAAATAAAATAAAATAAAATAATAATAATAATAATGATAATAATGATAATAATAATAATAATGGCCACTGAAGAACTGAAGTGTTTGAAAAAGTCATTATACTTGTTTATTTTCAATCTTTATATTCTTTTTTTATAGGCTATAGAGCATTCCTTGGAGATTAAAATAAAATAATAATAATAATAATTCGAATAATAAAATAATAAGAAATTAAAAAAACACGTGTTTGTAAAAGTTATTTTCGTCTCGTATCATTCAGTCTTTCGGTGACCACGCTGTGCCATTCCAGGTATTCACGTGCGGCTGTGGCGCTAATTTCCGGTTTTTCTCGATTTTCAGAATCGTGTCATCGGCCTGGAGAAGCAGGAGAGGAACGGAGAGGAAACCCAAGCGAAGGTGAGTCCGTTTAAAAATAAGTCCGCGGGTATCTCGATCGGTCTGGCCATCCGTCTTGCGCGAAAGAAAGACGGGAGAGACATCGGGCCGCTAATGGCCGAGCCGTAAATCAGTATCAAGCCGGGCGAATTTCTGCGGGGGGCAACAGGTGGCGAATGGTGTGACCGACAGTCACAGATATCCACAGTTTGTTCTCGTAGTTTTTCATGTTTGCGACGCCAACGACTCGGGGAGAGGGGGAAAAAAATCGGTTCCCGCCGAATCGTATCGGTAAAAAGAGAGAAACAAAAGCAATTTCACTGGTCACCACCTATTTTTCAACGACGAAAGCTGCGAAATTGTCAAAAGCACGAATATCCAGTCTTGCAAAAAAAATTTCATCACAATATCCTTCGTATTGGCTCGAGACCATAATTTACGGAAACGTGGCGGCGCACGTGTGCACGGTGAACGGAGAAACGTGACGTATCGCGTTCTTCCATCGCGTAATCTTCGGCATCGAACTTAATCCCCCTCTCGCTGATTCGTCTTCTCTGTCTGACAAAATACATAGTGTAGCTCGTTCCCGAGCGAACAGAGCGCTGACAGAATGTTTCACGTCCCTTTTACCGGGACGTTCTCGTTGTTTCGCTCATCTCTCACGTTTCGACTCGCCTCGCTACTCCGCGTGGCACGCCGCTATTATTTCCGGCTGTGTTTCCATCGCGAGCCCCTGCCTTTATTGTCTGGCTCGCGACACACGACAAACCGTTAAAACAATGCTCGGTACCCGTATATACATATATATATATATATATATACATAAATCGAAGCCGGCCGCGGAAAACGCTTCCACGAACGCGCGTTCCACGTTAAAAAGAAGTGGGTTACGCTTTATCCGATTCAGCCGTTTACTTTTTAAGCGCGTTTGCGCTCGCTGGTAATGGTAGCCTACATATCAGCGAACCATTTAAAGCGTCTCGTCGCAACGTGTTGCTTCTGAAAAAAAAAAAAAAGAAAGAAAGAAAAGAAAACCGAGAGAATATGGCGGAAAAATTTTCTACATATGAATCATGCTCGCGAGTGTTACCACGTGTGTGTGTGTGTGTGTGTGTGTGATCCTTTTCTAGTTTAAACTTTCGTTTTAATGGCGAAGTTTGCTCCATTACTCGAGTGGCTTGAGCAATCAAGAAGAACTTGTTGTTTATCTCTCGCGATATCTCATCTCTCTTTCTCTCTCTCTCTCGTCGTAATCGAAGAAGTGAAATTTCTACATGAATTCGATTCTAATTCCGGAGGCTGTCTACCGGTGAATCGCAAATAGCAGAGTAAACGTCGGCAAAAAAAAAAAAAAAAAAAAGAAAAAGAAAAAGAAGAAAATCAGTTCGAGAGTGAGCGCGCTACGAATAGGACACGAGGCATACAAGAGCGACGCGATATGGCGTTTACCGTTACTTGGCCCGACACACGCTCGTTACGACGAGCACGATCGAGCCGTCGAGAGTCTCTCTTTCTCTCCTCTCTAGCTCGCTTTCGGTTCATTGGGAAAACCACGAGGGAGAACGGTATTACGCCTCTGTCGCGGCTGGTAACGTTGTTTTCGTTCGTTCGTTCGTTCGCGCTCGCGATCGCGCGGATGACTAACTGCACTCGCGTCCGCAACGCGTTGCAGATTTGCATTTATATTCGTGACGCGTCACGCGTGCAAATAGATTTCGTTGTACACACGAAATTCCAAGCACGACCGTGGTAACTGCTTCTGGATTTTGTCTCTCCTCGTCGCCGAAAAAAACGTTTTACGAATATTTATTCTTACGTAATCACCGTCGTTTATTAATCTCGGGTCATTGCCCCAGTCGTGTCTATTTTAAACAATTTTTTTTTATTTTCAATTGTTTTTTTTGTCTCGAGCGTTTGAAATTTGAAATCTCGTACGTCATCGTCGGAACGAATGCGCTCGATTCAATGTCCGACTGACATCTGTACTTGTATGCACTTGAGCGCGAAGTAGTTACGGTCGGTAATGCACGGTCGTAAGGGGAATCAACCGTTGCTAGTGGAACCAGAAACGAGTGCACGTGTGTACAGTTCTGATATGTTACGGGTCATGTCACGTTCTGAATTACCGATTGTGTAGAAACGGTAGATGCTCTGTTGTACCCTCTACAATTTGGAATGGCGAACTTGAGGAATTATATTCAACCAGATTGTCAAGGTTGTCAATAGTGGTTAATTACAATAATTGTAACTATTTTAATTGAAATTGCAAATAAGAACCGCGATCGCAGTCAATTAGCTCGTATTATTTGCCATACGATTCGCAATTGTGTTACAAGGTAATACAATTCGTAATTACATATATATCAAACAAAGGTTTGGGTTAGGTTAATTAAGATTAGCGTATTAAGATTAATATTCATCCTAATCGCGGCGACTTTACCCTTCTTTTAAGATCAAAAATTCAAACACGCGTAGAAACACCTCCGTGTCTCGTGTGCAGTAAGACGTGTTACCAATCGAGCGGCAACTGTTGACGTCGGTAAAACAAATCTGCAGGTAGTGCAGTTTACCATCAAAGTAGAATAAGTATTTGTAGGACAGGCTGCTATGTCTATAGTAACACGACACCATTATAAATACTACGGTGATGTTTATTAATATTCCGAATGATCGCAACTAGCAATTATTTGTCACAACAGTAATTGTGACATCCTCTGGCTTGTAAATAGAGCTATATTATTTCAAATGAATCACTGCGCTGTATATCTTATCGAAGAGATCGAAAGACCGAGCGTTTAAAATTGGTTGACCGATTTGCGGCTCGTGCGGCGGGACTTTCATTGCTCGTTACGTAAAAAGATTTATACCTTGGTTTCGCTCGGACAAAAGAACGCTTGTGAAACTAGAAAACTACCTCGGTATTCTACTAAAATTTTTTTGTTGTCGCCACGGTGTCTAATCATCAATCTGACTAATTTTATTCCTACTGTAACAGTTACTTATCGATCGTCGCGAATTTCATTATTTTTTTCTCCTTTCGAAAGACGACGATCAATTTTCCGGATGCAACAATTTTATTTAACTCTAACTTAGGTGTCCCATTTGTCTTTAGTTTCGTCGTTACAGAAATTCCTAGTTGCAAGATAATTCTGTTAACACACTGGGCCATACGCTATCACTGACGCATATACCTTACGTCGATGCAATTATCTAACAATTGCAAGCGACGCTACTGACGCAACTGTTACATTTTTATTTCTGTCGTGTTTCGCCGAAATGACCGAAGAAAGCAAAGTAAGACGCCCTAGAACAATAATCATTATTTAACCTGTAATTTCCCAAAAAAAGGAGAGTTTAAAAAATTTTCGACTTTTGTTTCTTTCTCGCAAACTCACCTCGTCGTGACCACCATTCATGTGGGACGTGACTAACGGGAGGAATTGCAAATTACATATTTTCCCGTATCGCGTGGCAAACGCACCGCTTTTGACATTTGCTCGCCAAGCACAGTTTGGTATTTGCCTGGCATTTGTTGCACTGCGTTACTTTCGTCGTGGAATGCCAGCAAGGCCGGCGAATCCTTACAAATCCTCTCGGAGGATACCGTTAACTCGATGAATAAAACCTCCACCTCCGTTTATCCAATAAATCGGTACACGACTGCCTCGTACTGTACTGTACCGTATTCGAAACCGCGAGGTCGTCGTCGAAAGACCTCGCCTCACGCTCTCCACCATTTGGATTTCTACTGTCTACGATGCTCTTCTTCGAAAATTCTATCGTCACCGACACGCGAACGATTCGTCGTTAGAACGGCATATTCGGGAATTCGTGCTGGTTTGCCCGGGAATGCTCTTATATACTGGGTGATTCACGAAACTTGCAGTTGCCAGAGACAACTTTTAAATGTAAAATTGTGTAATACAAAAGTTGTATGACTTCAAGGAAGGTTTCAAGCGAAATATAGTGTATCGATTTTTCTGTGGGTTTCAAAATTTTCAAGATCAT